TMRWAARWMSTYCTYCATCTTTCTTGKGGKCTCCCTTCAGGACAAAGACCACAATTAGGCCACCCCAGCCTTCTCTTTTCCAGSCYGAATAAACCCAGTTCTCTCAGCCTTTTCTTGTACAAGAAGTGCTCCAATCCCTCTCACCATCTTGGTGGCCCTTTTCTGGACTCAMTCCAACAGGTCCATGTCTTTCCTGTGCTGAGGACCCGACAGCTGGATGCAGTATTCCAAGTGGGAAAAATGACAGCCACCCGTTAAGAGAAGATTTGGCCAATCCTTGTTGCTGTCCTCAGGCAGCAAACATAGCTCTGGCAATGGACATGCTGCTCTTGCTTACCAGCAGTGAAAAACAAAAAAAACTCCCTCCTGTGTTCCCTTATTTTCCTTCAGAATTACATCTACTCATTTTGTCTCCTAGCCTTTAYTGTTAGCAAGCAGATATAGAGGTTAGCAGAGTTTTCAATAATCTGGAACTTGGCACATACCTAATCTTCTCCATCCAAGAGAAAGATTGAATCCCCTTAAAGAACTAATTTGATTCTCCAGCTATGAAGAAGACTCTCTTAGAAATTATTAGCAGTTTATGGCATTAGAATAGAGTGAAAGCATGATTTTTCTAATATAGTAAAGCAAAGATTGTGATATTTTGTACTGGAAAAAATATCCTTGAAAAACTGAGAAAATACTTGAAAAAAAGAAGAACTTGAAAGTAAGAAAAACCTCCCAGAGTAATAGCACTGAGGTTTTGGAGTAGTCTTCTTGTGTGGCCAGTGGAGGCAAATAACGTGATWTATTTGGAGATGAATCTTGACAGTGTTATTAATTGGATTATATTCAGGTTTACACGTGATGGCAGGAGCTTGGACTTTGTGACTTTTGCTGTTCTTTTCCAGTTCTTGCCCTATATTCACCTATTCCTAAAGTTGTAGAACAGTTTGGCCTAATTTCAACAGTCTGAGAATTCATAAAGAACTTCAGACTGCAGAGGAACTCCAAGGTGAACTCCTGATGATGGTCTTGAAGACAACAGTAGCATTAGATAATACTCTTACAGAAAAAAAAACCCAGCTTCTCCTCCTCACTCTGTGTGGGCTGATTGAGATCCCCTTATTCTCAGAATGAGATCACTCATCAATTCTAGATTTCAGTCTATTTATTTTTTCATATGATGGCATTGTCTTTTAGCTTAAAAAGAACTTCTTTCTCCTTGATTCTTTTAATCCCTTGATATACTTACAGATCAGTATAGATCCCTTTGTAATCTTCATCCCCAAGTCTCTATTATTCTCTGGAAAAAGACTTTCCATTATCCGTTTCACATTAGTAGGCCCTCTGGATGTGACTGCAATCTCATTACTGACACTGATAAAGCAACACTRACACTCATTTTATTTGAATTTTTCTATCAGGTCTTGAAAAATTCAAGTTGAAAAATTAGTTTACAGRGAGAATTGGCTTTCCTACCTCTATTCAAGCTGTTTATTTTTAGCTGAATATTACTGAATATGGAAGCAGTCCAGTTTACATCCTGGTTTGATTTCCTGTTTACATGAGCCAGTCTGGTGTCACCATCGTATTTCTGGACCACTCTGGAAGCTTGTGTGCAGCCTTCCTTCCACCTCCAAGGAGAGCTGCCCTACACAATGGAACTATTGTTGTGCTCTCTGATAATGAAATATGAATATTGTTGGACACAGTATATGTTGGGCTTTTGTCACTTTGCTAAAGTGCACAGTTRTAACAGCAAACCTTTCACTGAAGTGTGGGGGGAAAACTCGAGTTAGAGAATAAAATCAGAACTGTAATCATATTTTTTTGAAGTTAATATAAAAACAAATCTGGTCATATATAGGGTGGCTCCCTATAGTATAATTATTGTGATCTTGAGGGGGAGGGGTGTCTTTCGTTTTACTTTTTTTTTGTCTTCCCATCTGGTTTTGCTTCCCAAACTATAAAGCTTGTTATTTCCCTTAAGAGACTATTAAAAATATTTTTTAAAAATCTACAAAATAATTGAGAATCTGAACTGGCCATTATGACTACTAATGGTCGTAACAGTGGGCATTACACAGAAGGGACTCTAAGAGAGTTCCATTTCACCAGTCTATCTAATGCATTAGCAGTCTCTGTCCTTGTTATTATTATTTTAATAGGATTTTTCAGAATAAAATTGAATAGTATGTGCATCCAGAGAATGCTCATGCCAGGTAAAAGAGCAGYGTTTAATCATTTTGGCTCAGATTGTGTCTAGCAATTTTTAGTTTTATTTTCAGCAAAGATGCATTTTAGAGAAGTGAGAATTTTTTAGTGTGCATTGATTCACGTAAAACTAGAGACAAACAAGTTTGAAGTTTGTTTAACAATGATACAAATGTTACTATGCTAATAGGTAAGAACCCTGAAATAGAACTTTTGTTCTCAAGGCTGATTCACAATAACTAAAGACAAATGAAGC